TTGGGATTTAAATCTGCGGCTCAAATCCCGCAAGTTTCCCGTACACGAAAAATTTTCCCGCACCTCTGATATTTCCACGCAATGTCCACGCACATACAATTACGTCATTTCGTTACCAGTCCCATGCTTAAACAACTGTAGGGAGCTACCTTAAATGACCTCTATACAGAATTAGAATTAAAATTAAAAATGAAAACGTACTTACCTTGACAATAACTCTGTCTTAATAAAGGTAAACTAAAAATACAGTAATAAAAAGATGAGACGTTCTCTGGTTAATATATTTATTAATCACAAGCTTTCGGCTACCAGTCTGTAGCCTTCAACGGGTGTATATACAATATGATACAAGGACGCTAAAACTATATAATATACATGTAAATTGAAACTAAACGTGACGTATGTGTATGTGCAATCTGAAATATGATAGGTGATATTACAATTTTCTTATTAAGGCTGTGTATTGTCGAGGAAGTAGCTTAGAGTTGTTATCAGCATTTTTGTCTTAGGCTGTATGCCATGATTCTAAAGTTAGACGGTTCCGAAATTTCCCTTTGTCTATGACTTTCGAGTTATCAAAATCAATTACATGATCACAGTCCCATGCATGCTTAGCAATGTTTGATCCATCTTTATTTTGTTTTAAGTTTCTGACGTGTTCAGATTTTCTTGTCTTTAGGGATCTGCCTGTTTCACCTATATAATTCCAAGGGCAATCTTTACATGGTATTTTGTAGATGACGTTAGTTTGTTCTTCGGTTGGAGGTCTGTGTTTTACTGAGGGGAATTCTCGTTGTAGGGTTCTCAAAGGTTTATTATGGACTTTTATGTTATGTTTTCTTAGTGTTCTTGATAGAGGTTCTGTTACTCCTTTGATGTATGGTAAAGTAGCATGTCCATTGTAAGTTTCCGAGGGATCAACCTGTTCAAAGAATGTTCTTACTAATTCTTCCGGACTTGGCGTAGCTTTGTCAGTTTGGGATTTGATCACCTTAGAGATGAGCGGTTTCGGGTATCCATTTGAAGCGAGGGTTTCGCTTATATGTTTTAACTCTTTATATTTGCTGTCTTCGGTGGTGGGAAGGTTAAGGGATCTGTTGATGAGAGTGGTGGCAGTGCTGATTTTGTGTTTCAGATCGTGATGTGAAGAGAAGTCAAGGTAGCGGTCTGTATGCGTGGGTTTGCGGAAAACATTAAAAGAGATAGAGTTATTGTGTCTAGAAACTAACGTGTCGAGGAATGCAATTTGTCCGTCTTTTTCATGCTCTATAGTGAATTTTATGTGAGGGTCAATAGAATTGAGCGTGTTATGAAAGCTAGTGACTGCGTTCTTATTTATAATGGCAAAACTGTCGTCAACAAATCGTTTCCAAGTCTTAGGTGGTGTTATAGCAGATTGAATTGCTTGCTCTTCAATCACTTCCATGCATAAATTTGCAACGATAGCACTGACAGGACTGCCCATGGCACATCCATGAATTTGCTTGTATATTACGTCGTTGTAAATAAAGTAACTGTTAGATAAAACAAATTCCAAGAGTCGTAAGATATCGTCAATGTCTAGTTGCGTTCTGTTACAGTTGTGTTACCAGGTGTTATCGTCAATGTCTACATGTTATCGTCAATTACAGGTGTTATCGTCAATTAAAGGTGTTATCGTCAATGTCTAGTTGCGTTCTGTTACAGTAATGTCTAGTTGCGTTCTGTTACATGCTACTTTACCATACATCAAAGGAGTAACAGAACCTCTATCAAGGACACTAAGAAAACATAACATAAAAGTCCATAATAAACCTTTGAGAACCCTACAACGAGAATTCCCCTCAGTAAAACACAGACCTCCAACCGAAGAACAAACTAACGTCATCTACAAAATACCATGTAAAGATTGCCCTTGGAATTATATAGGTGAAACAGGCAGATCCCTAAAGACAAGAAAATCTGAACACGTCAGAAACGTAAAACAAAATAAAGATGGATCAAACATTGCTAAGCATGCATGGGACTGTGATCATGTAATTGATTTTGATAACTCGAAAGTCATAGACAAAGGGAAATTTCGGAACCGTCTAACTTTAGAATCATGGCATACAGCCAAAGACAAAAATGCTGATAACAACTCTATAAGCTACTTCCTCGACAATACACAGCCTTAATAAGAAAATTGTAATATCACCTATCATATTTCAGATTGCACATACACATACGTCACGTTTAGTTTCAATTTACATGTATATTATATAGTTTTAGCGTCCTTGTATCATATTGTATATACACACGTTGAAGGCTACAGACTGGTAGCCGAAAGCTTGTGATTAATAAATATATTAACCAGAGAACGTCTCATCTTTTTATTATGTCTAATCCTGGTTACACATCTAAGATTTTTAAAAATACAATATCTAAATAACCATAACGCAGGATTCGCATTGTATTTCTTCCGACTTCAAGACAAATTGCAAAAATTCCAAAATCAAGCAGCAAGGGTGATTACCGGAGCTGACTACGATGTAAGATCGTCTGAAGTCCTAAACAAATTAGGCTGGGAAACCCTGGCTAGGAGACGAGAACAAAACAAGCTAGTATTGATGTATAAAGTCTTGGGGAACCACACTGCGCCAAACCTTAAAGATCTTTTTTCTCGGAGAAATGCATCGCAGAATATTTATGATTTAGGCAATAGCGAAACTGATCTCTTGTTAAAAAAACCGAAAACGGAATTTCTAAAGAAAACATTTGGATACAGTGGAGCACTTCTATGGAATAGTCTCCCGCAAGATGTCAAGGCGGCTGAGTCAATTACGTCATTTAGAACAATGGCGAAATTGCATTTAAGCAGATGATAAGCTAATTTCTCCAGGACCAAATGATGGGAGGACAATATAGATTGTGGGCGGGAGGGGGGTTAGTTTTGCGTGAGGGTGGGTGGGTACTTGTTTAGGGGTGGAGGTTTGGGAGGAAGATGATAAAATTTTAGGGTGGGATTCTTACATATTTTGTTCTATATATAATTAACATTTAGCTCTTTGTGTGTATACGCCCTTCGTGGAAACCAGTTGTAAATAATTGTCGAAGTTAGCGTATTAAAATAAAGTTTTACATACATACATACATACATACATACATCCGACTGATCTTTTTCTAACTTTATCTCACTATCATCAACGTACCAGAACCATTCATTCAATGGATATGGTGACGTTTCGATTGCCCGTAACTGAAATTCCTCCATGAATTACGTTTTGGAAAGTGGACCGATTGGGCTTGGAGCAACGGGTGAGATCGCGATGATATTCATGTAGGAATTTCAGTTACGGGCAATCGAAACGTCACCATATCCATTGAATGAATGGTTCTGGTACGTTGATGATAGTGAGATAAAGTTAGAAAAAGATCAGTCGGATGTGATACTTGACCATCTAAACAGCATTGAAAAGGGGATAATCGAGTTTACCAAAGAAGAGCAAGAAAATGATGTTATCCCTGTTTTGGATCTGAAACAAAAAATCAACAGGAAAACGAAACAGATCGAATGTATTGTCCACTACAAGAAAACACATACAAAAATAAATGTGAAGGAAAAATCAAACCATCCCTCCTCAATGAAGAAAGGTATAATTAAAGGATTTGCAGATCGTGCTTGAGCATTATGCGATCCCGGCTATGTAGAAGAGGAAATGAAAAACATTGAAGATGTGTTTGTGGCTAATGGATATGACAGAGAAACAGTGAAACGATATATGAAAAGCAAAGAGGAGGATACGAATGAGTCGACAGATTCTAAAGATGAGGAATGTTGTAGAGGAATGGTGGTTATACCATATTTACAAGCATAGGCGTACCGGGCGGGGGGGCGGGGGGGGCGGTAGCCCCCCCAGTTTTTTGGGCAGTCGGGCAATATTCGATCAACAGTCGGGCAATTTTGGTTTGCAATTAAAAAAATGGGACAAATTCTGACAATTTTGTCTAAAATTAAGTCAATTTTTTGGCAAATTTTGTTATTTTTCGAAAATTTGTGTCATGTTCCGAAAAATATTGGTTGTCCGGAAAATTTTTTTGACCCCTAAAATGGTACACTGACCGAATTTTTTTTTTTGGGGGGGGAGGTCGCAAAAATAATTTTTCCGGAAAAATTTTTTTTGGTACTAGTCGGGCAGAATCCCGAAAAGTCGGGCAATTTTCTTTCCGCCCCCCTAATTTTTTCCTTCCGGTACGCCCATGCTTTCAGCCGCCCATTATTTTCCCGTAATGGACAGGCGGTCCATTACGTAAAAACAAACACATGCATCTTAAAACAAAACAGCAAAACTAAATAAAAATTTGAAAATTATAATTTAATTTGTTATTAATAAGATATCTGCGAATGGTTTTTAGTGGAAAAGAAGGAATACATTGGTAATTTTTGTTTTCTTCGACCAAATGTGTTCCACGTTACTAATATGCATTTCAAATCATGCATTTCTTGCTTGTTTCAAGTATAAATGCCTATAAATGCCATATAATAAAACTTTTATTAACCTCGCTTGCTCGGTATGTACAGAGAAATATTGTACCTCGGTCTTTTTGTACAAACCTCTCCCAACAGGCTCGGTCTGTACAAAAAAGACCTCAGTCCGATATTTCTCTGTACATACCGAGCAAGCGAGGTTAATAAAAAGTTTATTATATGGCATTATACAAGTCACATTACAACGTTGTTTCCAAGTTTAGTCAAGTTTGAGGCATCACTTGGTTGCTTTGCTGTTAATTCTGCAAATTAACTATGAAATCTTTGTGGATTGGATGTTCTTGGCATAGGTATGATACTGTAATTCAACAACAAGTTGAGCAAGAAATTGTGGAAAAAGCATCAAACAAACGAAGTCGTTAAGAAGCAATTTTATCTCCCACATCATGCAGGAGTAAGAAACAAATGTTCAGTGGCGGCGGGACAGGGGGCTAGGGGGCTTTAGCCCCCCCCCCCCCAGAAGTAAAAGTGAGGGGGAGAGGCGTAGCCCCCCAAAAAATACATGAAGAATGCCAGAATGCGAGACCATTTATACAAACTACGAAGTCGTCAAATTACTGCTCGCCGGCTAAAATGCAAAAGAAAATATCCTACTTTGTGATCAAGTGAATGAAAACTGATTTTCTTTCACCCGAGTATATATCTTTTATCTATACAGTAAATACTACAAAGTTGTTATGTATAAGGCCTTTGTGGTTAGTTAGTTAGTGAACTTTATTTAAAAACACGGTGTCTCATCATTACAAAATGCTCTTCCTGGGAGCCGTGTACATGCACAATAAATAATATATAGTTAAAGTTATATAATTACATATTTGAGTTTATTCTATTCTTAAAGGCACTCAAGCTATCACATGTTTTAGTTGCCTCATCAAGAGAATTCCAGACAACGGCTCCACTATAAGCAAGGTTGCTTTTCATAAAATTAGTGTTTGGTTTTGGGATAATTAAATTAAGTTTACTACCACGCACGTCGTGATCATGCACTTCGTCCCTTCTTGAAAACTGGGAAACCAAAGATGAATGAGCAATTTGGAATTTATGGGGCTGAACTAAAATGGTTTGAATCTTATCTAACAAAGAGACAACAAGTGTGTTTTGTCAATGGTCATACATCGTCTCCTAGACAAATAACATGTGGAGTCCCACAGGGCTCAATTCTTGGCCCACTATTATTTTTACTGTATATTAATGATATGCCAAAGTGTTTAAAATCTACAACCCCTTGCCTCTATGCTGATGATACTGAAATTTTTGCATCATCATTTGATTATGATACACTTGTCAAAAACCTAAATGATGATCTAAAAAATATTCACACTTGGCTTACCAAAAATAAGTTACAACACCATCCAACTAAAACAAAATTAATGTTCATTAGATCACCATACAATCTTAAAAATAGGATTGGTGAAGCTACTGTATTTTTTGGCGACA